TGCAGAGAAACCTTTCTTGAGATGGACTTTTTCTGTTTTGCTGCAGTCAAGGCACATATATATTTTTCATCCCAGTTTAACAAATGTCGAAATCTTACCAGATCTGCCTCTGAAACTTACGTAATGTTTGCTCTTTGCAAAATGTATTTTTGTTGTATTTTCCCGCACACTCCAGTGGAAATTGTGCTATTTGAAATATAATTATTGAACTTCTATTGACAGACAGACAATACTTCCTCTTGCATGGTTGCCATATTCATGTCCTCATTCTGTTTTGTACCCAACTGCTTTATCCTTTGCAGTGTCCCAGTAATGTTGAGACATTTGAATTTGAGAATAATATAGCAAATCTTCTTGAGGTTAGCAGATGACCTTGTTTTACCTATACAAAACCGTTATAATCAAACAGCTAGTCTATACTGTATATTCAAGATTCAGCAGTCAAAGCCAATATGTATTGAACCCCAGTGATGTTTTTCCCATTCCAACCGAAAATCTATATTTTTCTGGCATGTGATATTATCTAATTGTTTTAAAATTGTTGAAATGTCTGTTAGAGCAGCACTAAATAAAAAAAGTCTGAACCTGAGATGGCTCAGAAGAGATGAATATACTGACAACACATTGTTCTGTTCTATTATGTAAATAAACCGGCCTTCTGTAGGGAGCTGTTTAATCTCATGTACCCACAGTGTGTTTTTGATCGCACATTTTATTACCCTGTTCTTAAGAGAAAAGCTCAGGTGAAATGGTAGTACTGCATCTTTAAATCTTGGTGACCTTTTCCCTCAGTGTTGCACATGCTCAGTTCATTGACTTAGCCTCCTGCCAAACTGAGGGTGTGTGACTTCTAGATACCAGTGTGATTTTCACTGAGGATTACTTATATGATATTGATTTTTTAAACAAAATTCACGCTACAGTACGCTTTCAGAGCCAAGCTGAGGCTTGATCAATGCATTGTTTTTTTTTAATTACACTTCAGTGATTTTAAAACATCAAATGTTTCTGAGGAGCATTAACAAGGAAACAACCTTATAGTAGCTTTCTTTACAGCAGAATCAGCCTGCTTACCATGTGTACATAATGATTCCTGTTGTGAGGCTGAGGTGCTTAAATATAGATGGTGCTGCTACTGAATTTATTTTAAAAAACTTCTAGATACAGCTGAAAGGGAAATTTAAAGAAGGTATGATAGTTACACAAGACAATATTTAAGTAAATACCTGAAAAGTGCTATGTAAATACAGTACAAGTTTCTTCTGATTATTATTTTTATTATCATTATTATAATTGATGCCTGTGTTACCGCTATTTCACATACAGTCTCTCATATTAGGAGACCCAATTTTTCAAGTCCTACTGCAGTTTTACACTCTATCATTTTAATGGTCATGTTTTGCAAAATTTGCATACATTGCTGTGAATATATTTAATTGTAATGCGTAAGGAACAATCAGCATAGACACAAATGTGAATGATAGCTTTCCTGTTCAAGACAGGGTCATTTGAAAACTAATAATTACTTCATAAATTGTTCATAGATTTTGTTTGTTTTCTTTCCCCCCCCCCCCTAACACATTCTTCAGAATTTTTTTTTTCTTTATCAACAGCCCAGAGCAGTTATCAGCTTTGACAAGCTATTGAAAAGTATTGTGCAAACAATGAAGTTAAATTGTGCATGAACTCATATACACATATACATCCTGCAGATAAGCTTGTTTGGGCTACTGGGAGCAATTTCTCCGCCCTGGGGAAGAGCAAACTCAAGTGGTCTTCAAGCTCTCCACTTGTAGGAGCGCTGTTCATTTGTTTTCTTGTAAACAGCAACACTTGGAACTCGGACAAAGAGTACAAGCACCTTTATTAAGATTGAGATAAGTATCTATGTGTGGACAGGAGCATTCCTTTATTTGTAGCTTAAGGGAAGCTGTGCAGAATCAAGTGTATTCAGAGGCTCTTGAAGCAAATTACAGGCCTGTTTAAACCTTAGGATGGAGAACCCTGATGGTATTATTTCTCAAGTGCCAAGGGCCCCAAACCTGATCCAGTTAATAAAGAAACCCTCTTAACCCCCTTTAACACTTTCTACTTTACCTTCTTTGGATTTATTTGAAGGGCACTTATTAAATGTTCTTTTGTTGAAAATGTTGGCACAAGCTGACTAAGAAAGATTAGAGTTCATGTGGAGCAAGTTGTCGTGGTAAACCATTGAATTTAATGACTTTGGTGTGTCACCAGTGTATTGCTGACACTAAGAGTACATGGTAATAAATAGTTAAAACATCATTCTTTTATCCACTTTTCATGTTGTATGCGAGCCTGACCCATAGTTTAGAATTTCCAAAATATTTCACTGAAACATTCCAAGTTAATGAATCTTGCTTTGGTCCCATGTGCACTGGAGAGATCGTGCATGTTTTTTTAATGCTTTATTTTGGTTAATGTCAGTTACTTTAAAATGGCAGTGTGTTTCAATAATTTAAAGGTTAATAGGTGTAGGTTTTATGTTGTCATTCTCATTTTGAGACCTTCTCCAAGTAGACAACAAGCGGCTTGAACATTAATTTTTAAATGTTTTTCTTCAAATATTTTAAGAAACCGTTCTAGTTAAAATTGCTAGCACATTCATTGTTAGTGTTGGTTTCAATGTTTTATGTTTTGCTAATGTCTAATTTGATGATTTGGACATGCAGTGTAACCCACATAATCCTCTTAGCATTAAATAAGAATCTGAAAGAATTACTTACCTGCAAGAGGTGGTTTCAGTTATATTTATTTTTAAAAGATTGGTCTCATAATAGTTAGATCTTTACGTGATAGCAATTACAATAAAAAACAAACCTAAGGTCTGAAATTTGCATTTTAAATTATTCTCATTTTCTGAGTTTCTTGGACACAGCTGCAGTACGAATTTAGCAGCAGTTTGTCATTTGGCATCTTTTATTTACGTAGCAAACTCCACAAAACCAACTCACGCATATAGTTTATTAAAATGAACAGACTAGAATTACTGAGATCTAGAACACATCTGCTGCAGAGAACTGTACGGCGTATAATTGTATCCTGTCATATTTAAGTACTTCTTTAAAGCAAAAATTGTGACAATTTGTTTCTCTGTCTCTTCTTCTCCATCTCTCCTTCCCTCCCTCTCTCTCTAATTCTCCACTGCTCCCTCGCTTCTGTTTCTCTTAAAATTCTCCGTCTGTACAGAGACTGCACTTGCCTCCAGACTTGTCAGACACAGTGAGCCGTTTGAGCAAACAGGATCTGGCAGAATCGGCCAAACTGCTGAGACTGGGATGTGGCACTACAGCCACAGGCAAGAAGCACCTGGACTTCTAGTGGTTTTTATTTAACCCTTTCACTTGCCATTTACATGACATTCTAATTATGGCTGGATGTTGTATTGCCAATTAATCCTGACCTATTCTTTCAGTATTTTTTCCTAAATTCCAGAATTTAGGGGAAATGTTAAGAATGTATACTCCTGAAAATATTAAGAATGTATTCTCTTCCATCAGGTAAAAATACATAGTTTTCGTGTTGCAAACCACAAGGTAAATACCATTGGGAACCTTTGGTGTTCCAGAGACAAGCATGTGAATTCTGCAGTTTAGTGCCATGATAGTTTTCTTGATATTTTACATTACAAGGCATTAATTGTGATGCTACAAGACTGGCTTGCAGACAGCAGCAAAATGGTGTATGGTTTCTTGTTTATCCCTGCACTCCAGTCTGGAGATGTGTTTTGTTTGCAGTTCAAAGGGAAGTGTTTTTCTGATGAAAACAGATTGTCCCTGTAAATGATGTCATCGGGATTTCATGACACATGGTTGATGCACAGTACTACATCAGTACTTGTGATATTTTTAAGAACATTTCAAAGCAACCAGTGTAATTTCACCTGCAAATTACATTGAATAGAATTTTGCTGTTGTGCCTTATAATAGGTTTGTCACTGTTATCTTTCATGACACTCATGTGAAATAAGATGTATTGTGTTAATATTTGCTGTAAAATGTATTTCTGAATAAAAGTTAAGAAAAAAGCTTATAATTTAAGATACTTTTTTTTTTGCAGAATCGAAACAGAGTCTTGACGATAAAACTAAAGATTAAATGGTAGGTGGTATTGGGTCTCTATCAATAAAAAGCCAGTAAAGGTATGCTCCCTGCAGCAAAATGAACACTTAAGGCTGAGTGAGCATTGCTACCTTATTAAATGTGCCTTGTGTTCAGCCACCTTTCTGTAGCCTGACCTGCAATTCACCTTTGCACTTTTCAGCATGATACCATACTGTAGGTAAAGGTACTGCATTTGTTCCAAAACATGTTAGCTCTGCTTATTTCTCTGAAAGTATTGTGGGTGTACACCAGTATATTATTTCCAGCTACCAATATATGTGATTGAATTCAGCTCCCTAAACTTTCATTATTTAAACATTAATGTGCATTTAAACATTAATTACTTGATTATTTTCCAAAAACCTCTGGTATTTCTAGAAATGAGCATATTGCCTTCATCTGTAAAAATGTAGGCGGTTTTTTAGTTGTTCTTGGTACAATGCAAATGCTGAGGCTTATTGAATATAAGTCTGTTGTCATTTAGCTTTAACAGCTATTGACAAGCACCAAAAGAACAATGCTTAGTAAACTGATATGACTATGGAGTCTTTGTTTTATATAATAGCAAAGGTTTAGTCAGAAATGAAGATACAGCATGCGTAATGCTATGGAACATAACACTGTTTTTCTGAATAAAAAACAGGTTCATAATTAACTCACTCCAACTATTTTGAAAGCCTTTCTCTTTTCTTCGAATGTGTCATTAAAAAGAAACATCTTTGTTGTGTTTTATTTTCTCTCCCAACTTTTTGTGGAACAAAATGTTGCTCATTTTTAAATTGGTGAACACACGAGGTCAGGTTGTCACATGTCACTTAATTACTCCCTCTTGGTTTCCTGTGGTAGGGTGAAGCATTTTATCTCAATGACACGTTCCTCCACAGCTTACATTTTGCTATGAAATTATTACAGTGGCTAAGGGTCATCTGACAGATGGAATGCCTGTCAATCACAGATGTCAGGATCATTTGGTTTGTGATGGACAATGAAATATGAATGCTGTCTTCCAAGAACTAGTTTGAGTCACTGCTGCACCACACCCTGCCTGCATGTACAGAACATGCAAGCCAAATGATCAGTGCATTACAGAATTTAAAAACTTAGAACCATTTTAATATAAATATAACTGGACTGCCATGTTGTTCATGAGCTTTAGTATACTGTTGGCATACCTGTTATTGATTTTGAAAAAGGCTAACAGAGTGGTCACCAATCTAGTCATCAATTCTATGGTCCCTTCCTAAGCAAAGATAGATTATCACCTTGTCTTGAACAAAATTAATAAAAATAATTCAGTCCACCATACTAAATATTATTAAATATAAAATTATAGTGCAACAGAAACCTGAAAAAAAGTTACGTTTTATCACTGCACTTAAATATATGAAAACTTAATCCATTAATTACTATGTTGATGAATCTTGCTGCTTTACAGTTTATTAAGTGTACTTAATGCTTGGGGATCTGCTGTGTCCGTGCTATGATGCCTCTTAAAATGGGATTGCATTTTGTTTGGACTCCAAATGTACATTTTTTTAAATTGACAATTAACCAAGGTGCATGAACCAGCAGTCCTCAACAGCAAGCCTTATGAAGCAATTTATTGTCTTGCTGCTATACATAACACCCATAACAAAATTTCTGCACTCTGCTGTCTGAATTCAGGATTCCTCCCTACCTTGTGGTAATTGACTGCAGTAGAAGAAATTTGATTTTGAAATCTTTAAACATATTTTTAAATCCTCAACCGTTTTTGCATTAATTTTTTTTTTCCTGGTTTCATTTTGAGAATTTAGTTTTTTGTTGTAAGTGTGAACACAGTCACCACTTGTTAACATCAAAGGCAACAGTGTTGCATTAAAAATCTGTCTGGTCTTTTGGACTTTTATGCAGATACACAGATACTGTATAACAACAATGTTATTATGTATATTTCCAAAGCTACAATTTCAGTAAGCTCATATCGTTGACTAAAATAAAGTCTTCGGTTGGAATGTATTTATTTTTTTACTTTTCAGGTGAAAGCTTTCTTTTTAGCTCAGGTCTTAATTGTATACATTGATACTAATTAGAAAGCAAAACTGAAATAATCAACAGAGTATTTTGAAATAATGCTATACATAGTCAATACATTTTTATTACTAAATTAATTGTTTTGCTAAATTAAATTAATTTGTGTAAACTGACCGCGTTTCTACAATGCTTTTTCTCTTGTCTTTGTTTATAGTCTATGAATATGGGCTATATTTACAAAAATGTTGATTGATCTAAGTGTCTGCTGGTTTTCATTTCTCCCCAGAGGGTGTGTTGTGACTAGTTGATTGTAGCCACAGTTTGAGACCGTATACAGTTGCTACAGAGCTGGAAGACACAAGTTATAGTTTTTCCTGTCAAGTATTTTTGGGGAGTGTTGCTATTGTATGTATGGTTTATTAATCTGAAATTTTGTATAAATGCTGAATATCATGAATTTGCTCATGAATATATTCCACAAATCAGAAAAGACTAATGAAAATTGGGAGAAAGTACGTTTAGGACTAGGAATGAGTGGCACTTCTTCACACAAAGAGTTGTGGGGCTCAAGAGAGACCCCATTGTGTTATTGAAGCCGATGTCCCCAGGTCTTCTTTCAAGCAGTGGCTGGATGAGCTCCTCTGATCTGTCAGGTGAATGTTTTCCCGTCAAGTATGTTCTTGTTTTCCTAATCCAGAGAGTAATTTTTCACTTATGTGCATTTTATTATCCTCGAATTGATACAGAAAATATGTGGATTCCAGATCATTATTAAGAGTCTCTTCTGTTTCATCCTGAATAAATCTTTTTTGTAATTTAGTTGTAAAAGCAGAGGAAAATATCGTAAGGCACAGTTAAATCCAAGTCACTTGCTTTTATTTGTACAGTGCTTTGCATTTGTGAAACAAAGTGTTTCCTATATTTCAGCCACCTCAGGCTCAACCACATAAATCATTATGTGCTGACAACCCCACTACACAGCAGATAAGGTGGTGAAGTGAGAAAATACTTAAACTGGATTAAGGGAGAAATGCAAGTAGGTCACCTTGATCACCCCTACTTTCACGGACAGTGCCATGAGATTTTCACTGAAAAAGTAGTGGGAACTCCCTCCTCCAGTACATTTGGGTATTCTGATCCAGAGGAAAGTGATGTCATCTAGCCTACCAACTCCACATCCAGCAGAAACTCTCATCCCAGTACTGATCAGGTCCACCCATGCTTAGTTTCTGAGACCTGACAAGAGAATTACAAGGTGCTTAAGTTAAAACTACTCTACAGCCTAATATATGTAACAATGTTGTATTCACATAAGGTCTTTCATCATAGGCCACTCAGGTCAGTATGTACATGAAATAAAGTACAAAATGTTCATTGCTGTGATACAATATGTATTTAGCATGATGCAGGTAGGTTGTCATTGAATAAACTTGGTTGTATTTGCGTGAGCAGTTCCCAGCTTCCTGGAGTTGTTCACATGGGCATTTAGCGCAAGGCCATCCACAGTCAGCTGCAGCAGCAGTCAGCTGGTATACGGTCCTTCTAATTCTGCTTCTGGTGGTGTTTGCAGACTTATATCTTTTATCTGAGAACATAATCCCTTTGCATTCCTCAGGAATTGCTGTCCTTTTCAGCCATCCCAGGAAACAAAGAAAAGGGTGTTGATGTCTGTGCTGCTTGGACTACTGAGTTTTTGCTCTCTTTTTGTTGACAGCAGAGTTGTTCACAGTATACACGTCCAAGGAGGGGATGCTGTCATCTCCGTTTTCAAGCTCAACTCTCAGAACCTTCATTTGAAAGTAGAGGATTGGGAAATAGAATCTTAAATGTCTTCACTCATCTCCATTGCTTCAATAGTGGCATCATAAGTCCTCTAATGTGTGGAAGTCAGCCTACACATTTGACAAACTGACTTCACATGCCAGGTGACTTTCAGTCTAAATATTTGTTTTCTAAATAAATGCTTGTACATTAATGTAGAAAACACGTATCTCCCTGAGCCAGGTGGATAGACAGCTAACTCTGGGATAAAAGAATAACCAGGAAGAGCTGTCACTCAACATCCTGTGTTCTTAATCCCACACAAGCATTTCTGGGAGTGGCAGAGAATCCCACAGGATCTTCCCCACACGTTGAGTCTTTCTGGATCTCTGTACCAGTGCAAACAGCTTTGACTTCTGTTGGGCCTGAGAGCTGAGGTGTCGCCTTGTTTATAGCAGGAGTTTCTACAGTTGTGTTTCAGTGTGAACTAAACATACAGCTGCATGTTATTTGTGGGTGTACTGTGTCACCTAATCAAACCTTTAAAGATAGGTGTTAGAATCAGAAATATTTGTATAGCTATGGTGTGGTGATGCCAAGTGATTATATATGTACATATAGATGGTCCTGTTATAATTTGCGATGTGCATGCATGTGCGTATATGTGTGACTAATGAACTGCTTCAGAAACCCAGTCACATGTCAGAAACACAGAAGTCTGTATCCCAATTAGGTCATAGCTTGTCTGTTCTGAGGTGGAATGACTTCTAAATGATTTTACATATTAACTAAAAATAGCTAGAAAGGGGCCTAGAATGTTTCCTTCTCGATGACTTTTTTTTTCGTGAGTATATATTGTATGTGCTCTGGTTTCCTCCCACAGTACAGAGATGTGCTGTTACTGTTAATCGGCCCTGGTGTGAGTGTGTGTGCATGTGTCTGTCTGTGTTTGCTCAGCAATGGACTGGTGTCCCATCTCGTCTTGCGTCTGTTGCTTGCTGGGATAGTCTCTGGCTCCCCCGTGACCCTCTTCTGGATAAAGCAGTTAGAAAATGGATGTATTGTAAGGGGGTTTTTTTTGCATTATTTACCTATTGTTTGCACTCAATGCTTTTTAAAGTTTGTCTTGTCACTCCATATTACTT